CTGTAAATGACGTCACGCTTTGTTTTTTCTTTTAAATATATTTTTTTAAATCTATTTTTTAGGGGGAAAAAGGGGGGGGGGGGAGAGAATTTTGGCCTCTTCCCATTGTCACAGGCAGGCCCTTACTTTTTTAATTAATTTTTTTTTAATTTAAATTTTTTTTTTTTTTTTTTTTTTTTTTTAATTTTTTTTTTTTTTTTTTTTTTTTTTTAAAAAAATTTTTTTTCTTTTTTTTTTTTTTTTTTTTTTTAGAGAGAATTTTGGCCTCTTCCCATTGTCACAGGCAGGCCCTTACTTTTTTAATTAATTTTTTTTTAATTTAAATTTTTTTTTTCTTGTTTATTTTTTCTTAAATTTATTTATTTATTTATTATTATTTTAAAAAAAGTTCTTTTCATTTATATTTTACTTTTTGTTTTGTTTTTATTATTTATTATATATATATTTTTTTTTCGTTCGTATTTTTTGTTTTTTGTTTTGGGGATGGTGTATTTTGGGAAGAGGGCTCTACCAATTTGTCATGGCGGTGTATGAATAAAGAGTTTCACTAGTGTTACAAGTTTGCGACGATGGGGCCAAAAAAAAAAATAAATGAAATATGATTAGCTCACCAAGTGCGTGTTTTTTGGTGAGGAGATTAATTGTGTCGCTGTTGCTATATATCGTGCTTTGTGTGTGGGACGTATTTTGGGTATGCAGTAAAATAAAACTAGACACTGTAGACAGCTTCAAATACCTAGGAGCAATAGTCTCAGAAGCAGGCGTCAAGCCAGAACTGATGTTCAGGATTGCCCAGACCACAACTGCACTGAAGAGGCTCGAGGAAATACGGAATGACAAATGTATAGCCCCAAGCACCACAATCAGGCTGATGCGCTCACCAGCTTTCTCTATTTTCCTGTATGCCTGCGAATCCTGGACTTTAACAGCTGAACTTGAAAGGAAAATAAAGGCGGTGGAGATGTGATGCTTCAGAAGCATTTTTGGCATCTTTTTATAGAGACCAATGATCAAGTAACAGAACAGATTCGTCAGGCAAATGGGCAGTACGATGACCTCATGGTGACTGTAAAAAAAAAAGCGCAAACTGGAATGGTATGGCAACGTGAAGTGGAAACAGGGGCTCGCCAAAGAAACCATGCAGGGCACAACGAGAGGAGGGAGAAGAAGGGGAAGACAGAGAAAAAGATGGGAAGACAACGTCAAAGAGTGGACAGGCCTGAAACTAGGCGATGCTGTGCACAGTGCAGAAGACAGAGACGAATAGAGGAGGGTGGTTTACATGTCATCTGTGGCGCCCTAGCGGTCCAAGGACTAAGGGACATGATGATGATGATTTTTTTTAAAAGAGAAAAACGAAGGAAATATTAAAAGTTTGTTTCGCCAGAAGTTGACCCATTTGCATAACCGCTCCTTAATAAATGATAAATCACGTACAATAACATAAATCATCATCATCGGTGGTGCTCCCGTCGAATGCAAGATTGTTTTCGTATTTTGATGGGATGAATGTGTATTCTTATTGTGGACAGGAGATTCTTTTCTTTAAAAAAAATCCTTTATATTAACTTCGCTTTTGTTCGTGCGTTTCTGGCTGGCAAACTCTTCGGACGGATAATTGACCCATTTCCCGTCACCTATTGAGCTGAAACTTGGCACGTAGACCCGCACTAATTAAGATGCTTATAAAGTGCGCTCCTTTGTCAAATTTTCAGCTCCACCCCTATTGCTGGATATCACATTTTATAAATATACATACACAGATGCGATGTGTGTCTTCTCACATAGAAGCAATGTGTGTCTTCTCCTATAGATTCAATGTGTGCCTTCTAGCATAGATCAAAGTGTGTCTTCTCACATAGAAGCAATGTGTGTCTTCTCCTATAGATTCAATGTGTGCCTTCTAGCATAGATCAAAGTGTGTCTTCTCACATAGAAGCAATGTGTGTCTTCTCCTATAGATTCAATGTGTGCCTTCTAGCATAGATCAAAGTGTGTCTTCTCACATAGAAGCAATGTGTGTCTTCTCCTATAGATTCAATGTGTGCCTTCTAGCATAGATCAAAGTGTGTCTTCTCACTAAAAAAAAACTTGTTCCGCTACTGCGTCTTTGACTTGACCAAAAGGAATCGATTCCAATTTAACATCCCGACTCCTTCAGTTCACCACAGTCACGGAAGCCGTGATGCCGTCATGTCCCCAGGCTCGGTGTATTACTACAAGACTAAAATGCAAGAAAGGAATATTATTGAGTACGGCCTTTCACGTCACAGACCCCCCCCCCCACACACACACACATACTGCATTATTCAACTGTAAGGAGAATGGCTAATTATTGACTAGCGCACTGATCAATCGACATTCAAAGAATATAATGGATGTGAACCGGATGCCTTGTGAGCACAGACCCGTCTGTGATGCCAATGTACGATGTGAGAATTAACAAAAGAAAGAACATTGGGGGGGGGGGGGTTCACACGAGAGAACATATAATTTAATTGTAACAAAAGAAAGAACATACGGGGTGGGGAGGTGGGGTTTACATGAAAAAAAAATCATTTAATTGTAACAAAAGATGGACGACGAGGGTTTACAAGGACAAACTGGATCATTTAGTTGTTACGAACATGAGTTTTGTAAAAACCATACAACAATATAAAGAGCACTTTTATTGCAAACATTGAGGATCAAGACTTTTTGGACGGCCGCGGCTCAGATTGAAGGACGTTTGCAAAAGGAGCACGAGGGAAGCCAACACAGCAATCAGACGAATGGGAGATCATCGCCGAGCACCGTTCCAGCTGGCGAAACAGCAGTGTATGAAGGCGTCAAACAAAAAATGGCAGAAGATACGCGAAACAGAGCCCTTGCAACAAAACAAGAAAAGTGCATTGCGGAGGTCAAATTGATCCATGAGGCGACATTCTCCTTCGAGAAGTGCAGGCGAGACTGTCATTCCAGGATCGGCGTGGTAAGCCATTTGATTAGTGTACTGTACATTGTTCACGCTATCGTCACGCGAAGACGGAAGGATGACATATAAAAATAAATCTCTCTATATAATGTAAATATCTGGGCAGACGTTTGGAATGTAAGAATATGTCATCAATTTTTTTTTTTTTGGTATCAACAACAAAACATGCAATGATTAGAAGATAACATAGCGACTTCACCAAATGCATTCATCGAACAAGAACTCACTTCCAGGACGATGACAGAGGCACTCGTTTACTTCCATGCTAATTACAGAGGCTAAAATTCAAGGCTAAATATAGAGGCACTCTGAATTCAATGCTAATTATAGAGGCACTCTTGACTTCAATGCTAATTATAGAAGCACTCCGACTTCAAGGCTAATTATAGAGGCACTCCGACTTCAAGGCTAATTATAGAAGCATTCTGACTTCAAGACTAATTATAGAAGCAGTCTGACTTCAAGGCTAATTATAGAAGCAGTCTGACTTCAAGGCTAATTATAGAAGCAGTCTGACTTCAAGGCTAATTATAGAAGCAGTCTGACTTCAAGGCTAATTATAGAAGCAGTCTGACTTCAAGGCTGATTACATGAGCGCTCTTGACTTCCAGGCACCTACAAAAGGCACGCTCTCTTGCTAAAGGCAATCATTCATAATCTTAAAGGCTTCCACTGCCACATACAACGCCAGATTCACGACATCATCCGCCACCAGCAGCAGTTCTGTCACATTACAACCCAATCACGATCACAGGCATGGTCTATACATTTCCCAGACATTATTAATACTTTGTTGGTCTTACACATGACCGTCATGTAACACCTTGTGAATTGGCGGAGTAGTTCCCGCGCCCCATCAAACTCTTTGACTAGTGTCGCACCCAATCAAAATTTGTTGACAGACTCTCGCCCCCCCCCGCTCCCCCCCCCAGCCGACAAATTGGTTGACTAATTCTCGTACACCCTCCATACAATTTGTTGAAGCTGCAAACTGTGAAATGGTTGAGTCGGTTGTCCAACCCTTTAAATTGTTTGACTTAAGTAACGCCAACCAGCCCCCCCCCCTCCGGGAACCCTTTCAACCCACACACCCCAGAATAGTAACAGTGCATTATAAAATAGGAAGGGATGGGGTAGTGAATCTCTATTTTCTTCTTCTTTTTCGTTTTTGTTTTTTATATTGCAGGACCTGACACTATAAACGTGCGACTCTATTACATTAAGTAAAAATATAGAAATATATTAAAAATAATAATAATATAATATCATTACGTTAAGAGAGGAAAAAGGTCAAGGGCTCATCTGTTACGATCATCATCTCATCACCGTTCCTAAAATGGAGGCTGGTACGCTGTGGGAGAGGGAGGGGCAAAGACCTTCAGGTGGAGGAAACCCCGCTTCAGTGTAACCCCGAGCTGTATCTTTAAAAATTGTTTCCCAGGTCCATACACAATTTTAAAACATAAATTAGAAAGTGGGGTGGTGGGATGGGGGTGGGGGCATGGGTTTGTTCAGTTTCTTTACGCAATTTAAATTTATTTCAGGAAGTGATACATTATGTGCTTGATTTTGATTCCAAACTCAGCAACCGACGGACGATCAATTTTGACGACTGACAAGGGACAGATAATCTATGTTTACCACTTACAAGGGACAGATAATCTATGTTTACCACTTACAAGGGACAGATAATCTATGTTTACCACTTACAAGGGACAGATAATCTATGTTTACCACTTACAAGGGACAGATAATCTATGTTTACCACTTACAAGGGACAGATAATCTATGTTTACCACTTACAAGGGACAGATAATCTATGTTTACCACTTACAAGGGACAGATAATCTATGTTTACCACTTACAAGGGACAGATAATCTATGTTTACCACTTACAAGGGACAGATAATCTATGTTTACCACTTACAAGGGACAGATAATCTATGTTTACCACTTACAAGGGATTGATAATCTATGTTTACCACTTACAAGGGACAGATAATCTATGTTTACCACTTACAAGGGACAGATAATCTATGTTTACCACTTACAAGGGACAGATAATCTATGTTTACCACTTACAAGGGACAGATAATCTATGTTTACCACTTACAAGGGATTGATAATCTATGTTGACGACAAATAATTTTTAGCCAACCTTCGACGGGATTGTCCTAATAAAGTAGTCGAAAAATGTGATGGCATATCCATACAGAGCCATCACGTGACTTTCGAAGAGCCCGGCATACCTTTTTACATTTTTTGTTGTTGTTAATTAGTTATTCTATCCAATTTAAATGCTCTATTTAGATTATGTCTCCACACAAAACGCAACGTTTGGGCCCTTTCAATAGGACAGGCCCGAAGCAGGTGCGGGGCCAGTCAGAGCATCCATGTTATCCAGCCCGATCCAGCCGGGAGGGTAGTAATCCTCTCGGGTGAAGCCGTCCTCCAGCCACGATCCATTGACCACAAACTTGCTGTAGTAGATCTTGACCCCGGGACTGAGCCAGGCGGCCCACCAGCCGTACGTCCCTCCGGACAGCACCACGTGATCACAGTTGGCCAGCACCGCGAAGTGGACCAGGGGAGACTCCTCCGTCACGATCCTCACGTCCGGGTCTTTGAGGTTCTCCTTGCACCAGGTCAGATCGTCGCTGGCTATCAGGAAGGTGAAGTTCTTATCTCGGAACAGCTCTCGAATGGTTTTGAAGGCGTTGTGGAAGTACGAGGCCTGCGGCACACCATATCCTAGTTTGACGTTGTTGTCGTTCAGATAGTCCCCACGCCGCACGTGAACCCCGACCAGGAAATTGTCGCCGCTCTCGTTTCTGAATTTCTGCAAGTGCTCCTGGGCTTTTCTGAATATCTCGTCCTTGAACTTGAACTCGCTCCTGACTTCGTCCTGATTGTGATGAAAGTAGCGCCATGACTGGAAATATCCGTTAATGGTTTTATTCACGTGGGTCAAGTTCATGAACCTGGGGTCAAAAGTTGCATAATGGGCCTCACCTTCATTTTCCCACCTTGAGGAACGAAGAGAGGATTAAAAAAAAGATTTGTAAATATAAATTTAACAAAAAAAGATGCAAAACATAAAAATGTAAGATTAAATAAATGAATGATGACAAGTTCTGAAGCTGATCTATGCGATGCTGTTTTGACAAAGATTTTGTCGGGAATTCCCAAAAATTGTTTCCTTTTTGGTCGGCATCTGATCTGATAAACGGCCCTCATTATTTTAATGGAGCCCCCATTTTTCATTTAAGTCATCGTTCAGTGGTAAACCGGCCAAATTCTTAATCTCAGCCATCGTTCAGTGGTAAACCGGCCAAATTCTTAATCTCAGCTATCGTTCAGTGGTAAACCGGCCAAATTCTTAATCTCAGCCATCGTTTCGTGGCAAACCGGCCAAATTCTTAATCTCAACCATCGTTCAGTGGTAAACCGGCCAAATTCTTAATCTCAGCCATCGTTCAGTGGTAAACCGGCCAAATTCTTAATCTCAGCCATCGTTCAGTGGCAAACCGGCCAAATTCTTAATCTCAGCCATCGTTCAGTGGTAAACCGGCCAAATTCTTAATCTCAGCCATCGTTCAGTGGCAAACCGGCCAAATTCTTAATCTCACCCATCGTTCAGTAGTAAACCGGCCTAATTCTTAAAGTCAGCCATCGATCAGTGGCAAACCGGCCAATTTCTTAATCTGAGCCATCGCTCAGTGGCAAACCGGCCAAATTCTTAATGTCAGCCATCGTTCAGTGGCAAACCGGCCAAATTCTTAATCTCAGCCATCGCTCAGTGGCAAACCTTCAGCAAGTCAAGCTACATCCTAAACATTAACCCAATCCCATTACATCCACATTGTTACATCTTCCTAAGCCGCTCATTAGCCAATCCCATTACATCCCCAATGTTACATTATCCTAAACAACTTCTCACCCAATCCCATTACATCCACAAAGTTGCATTATCCAAAAAACTCCTCGTCCAAATGCCATTAAATCCACAATGTTACATTATCCTAACCACTCATCCAATCCCATTATATCCACAATATCAAATTATCTTAAGAACTCACCCCATCCCATTACATCCAAAATATTAAATTTTCCTAACCGCTCACTCGGTCCTTTTAAATACACAATATTAAATTATCCTAACCACTCACTCGTCCCATTAAATCCACAATATTAAATTATCCTAACAGCTCACCCAGTCTCATTAAATCCACAATATTAAATTATCCTAACAGCTCACCCAGTCCCATTAAATCCACAATATTAAATTATCCTAACCACTCACCCGGTCCCATTAAATCCACAATATTATTTATTTATTTATTTAGGCATTTTTATATAGCGTTTATCATAAAGCTCTAAGCGCTTTATTAAATTATCCTAACCGCTCACACAGTCCCATTAAATCCACAATATTAAATTATCCTAACCACTCACCCAGTCCCATGACATCCACAATATTAAATTATCCTAACCGCTCACCAAGTCCCATTAAATCCACAATATTAAATTACCCTAACCACTCCTCAACCAATCCCATTACATCCCCAATATTTCGTTATCCTAACCACTCACCCGGTCCCAATAAATCCACAATATTAAATTATCCCAACCACTCACCCGGTCGAGTCTATGCTGTCGTTAAGGTGAGTAATTTGAAACGTGGCCTCCAAGTCCGTCCCGCTCTTGATGAAAACCGTCCTGTTCTGAGCTCGGGCGATTCCGATCAGAGCTGCATAGATAAACATTTGATTGCCCAGTCTTCCGGTGAAGGCCGATGTGACGTACAGTGGCTGGACGTTTCCGGATGAGGCAGCCGTAGCAGCACTCGTCACCTCAAGTGCCGTTGACTCGGTGTAAACAGTTGGAATTTCTGCTGGTGAATCAGTCAAACCCGATGGACTTAGAGAAGCACCTTCAGCAGTGGGGCTTGAGGCTGTTGAAATGCTTAACGCATTGTTAATATTTGTAGAGCCCTCTGTCGTAGAGCGAATGGAAGTGGTATCTGATGCTGATTTTTCGGTTGTTGCGGACAAAACTGATGTTGGGTAGACAGAAGAGTAGGTTGCTGTCGACTCTTTTGCTGGAAGTTCTCCAGCGGTACCGATAGTAACTGGACTTAAAATTTCCCTCACTGAGGTTTTCGTATTTACATTTGATTTTTCTGCAGCCACGGAAACAGTTGTAGATGGATCCGTTACTGAAGCTGCTGTAGCTAGACTTGAAATGTCACCAAATGAAACTGCTCTAGCGAGACTTGAAATGTCACCCAAGGGAACGGTTCTAGCTCGACTTGAAATTTCCGTTACTGAAGCGGATGTAGCGGATGTAGCTTGACTTGAAATGTCACCAAATGAAGCGACTGTAGCTAGACTTGAAATGTCACCAAAGAAAGCGGTTGTAGCTTGACTTGGCGAAAGGTGTTCAGTTTCATTAATTTCAAGTTGGGTAGTAGCTGTCGTGGAGAGACCGCTCAGAGAAGTGGGTGTATTATCGTTGGCACCAGGTGAATATGTTTTCCGTGCAGTTATGGGCTCTGGAATATTGTCAGGTTCCAAAATTAAGCCCTGATTCGAATACGGTCTGAAGAAAAAGAAAAAAAATTGTTAGTTCATTTCATTTTAGTTGATAATCATATATTCATTAAAAAGTATATTTTAAGTTGTTCAGTTTAGTTGATAATCGAATATTCCCTTTTTTTAATGTGTGAAGTTATTTCAGTTTAGTTGATAATCGAATATTCATTACTTTTTATATGTGAATTTATTTCAAGTTATTGGATAATCGAATTTTCATTTTTTTTTTTAAATTGACACTAGTCCTAATTATCGGGACAAATCTCTTACTAATGTATTCTTATTTGACAAGTTTATCGACTGCAGTTTGCGGTAAATATCAAGATTATGTTTAAATCCCCACAATCGTTTATGTACACAGTGACTGCCAAGTTTACTCACGTGACCGCCAGATAGGTGAAGGCGAATCCAGCGACACAGAGCAGAAGCAGCACTTTGAAGATGTTCCATCTCGACCAGAATTTGGCAGCACATGATCTTGGACCTTGGTAGCTGGAAAACGGAACAGCTTTCCATTAACTATAAAAATCAATTTTATAATTAATCTTTTAATTAATCGTTCAATCCATTTTATAAATAATTTTATTTTCAGTTTTATAACCTTAAGATTTATAATTTTAAAATCCGTTTTATAATCAATTTTACTATCCATTTTATGTTCAATCTTATAATCAATTACACAGTTCTTTTTTTATAAACAATTGTTTGATCAATTGTATGATCAATTTTATAATCAATTTTATTATCAAAGAACGATTATTAAATTAAAAAAGAAAAAAAAAATTCATTACACAAAGCATGACATCAGGTTTTAGATAGATCAAGTTCTTTGACATTTCTAGATCCAAAATAAACCCATGAATCGAACACATGTCAGTCTCGACTTGTATTATATATAAGTCATATATATATGTATATCAGTTGCTCGTCATTCGCACATGAATATGACCAAGGTAATTTTCGAACAGAGTAGCAGCCATTTTCTCGAGCTGTAATTTGTTTAACTTGGGGGGGGGGGTAGAGCTGCTCGATTCGTCAGCCTCATTCCCTCGTCCTTGCCTATATCATCCAATGCCAAGGCCTCTCTCCAAGCCCCCGGGTAACCCAAAGGAAAAACGCGTAGATGTTTACAGCTTGGCGCCAGCAGCGTCGCATGGGTTGCTGGGGTTGAAACAATGGTATCCTATTACGGATTTCCGGGTTTCCCAATTCGGGGCTTTTCTTCTCTGAGATGATTTGCCATTCAAAGCTAACGGGCCACAGCCAAACGGGGCTTTCCTTCCCTGAGATGATTTGCCATTCAAAGCTAACGGGCCACATCCAAACAGAGCTTTCCTTCCCTGAGATGATTTGCCATTCAAAGCTAACGGGCCACAGCCAAACGGAGCTTTCCTTCCCTGAGATGATTTGCCATTCAAAGCTAACGGGCCACATCCAAACAGGGGAGATGGTGATATTTTTTCGCTGATCTAATCTTAGGTGGGGATTAAACTTCAGACCATAACCCTTGTTTAGATTGACTCAGTTTAGACTACTCGGCCACCTAGTATATGACGTTCGTTAGATTTTTTTTTTACTATTCAAACCACCACACACCCACCATACACACGTACAATACACACAAACACACCCAACTTTTTATGAATATCAAATGCATCGGGATTATTGAAATACATGAACTACTATTAAAGTGTTCCTTTTATCGCACATTCCGTGCAGCATCTGATCACACAATCCGTGCAGCATCTGATCACACAATCCGTGCAGCATTTGATCATACATTCCGTGCAACATCTGATCACATATTCCGTAAAACATGTGATCGCACATATAGTACAACATTTGATTGCACATTCAGCACACCATTTGATCACACAATCAGCACAATATTTGATCACACTTTCAGTACAATATTTGATTGCACATTTAGCAAAACATTTGATCGTACATTCAGCACACCATTTGATTGCACATACAGCACACCATTTGATTGCACATTCAGCAAACCATTTGATTGCACATACAGCACACCATTTGATTGCACACACAGCACACCATTTGATTGCACATTTAGCACACCATTTGATTGCACATTCAGCACACCATTTGATTGCACATTCAGCAAACCATTTGATTGCACATTCAGCACACCATTTGATTGCACATTCAGCACACCATTTGATTGCACATACAGCACACCATTTGATTGCACATTTAGCACACCATTTGATTGCACATTCAGCACACCATTTGATTGCACATTCAGCACACCATTTGATTGCACATTCAGCTCAACATTTGATTGCATATTCAGTATAGCAATTGATTGTACATCCAGGACAAACATTTTATAGCTTATTCAGAACAACATCTGATCGAATATTCAGCACACCATTTGATCGCACATTCAGTACAAAATTTGACTGCACATTTAGCAAACATTCAACGGAACATTCAGCACACAATTTGATCGCAATTTCAGCATAACATCTGATCATACATTCAGCACAACATTTGATCGCATATTCAATACAACATTTGATTGCTTATTCAGAACAACATCTGATCGCACATTCAGCACAACATTTAATCGCACATACAGCTCAACATTTATTCGCACATTCAGCTCTACATTTGATTACACATTCAGCTCAACATTTAATCGCACATTCAGCTCAAAATTTGATCGCACCTTCAGCAGAATATTTGTTCGCACATTCAGCTCAATATTTGATTGAACATTCAGCACAGTATTTGATTGCACATTCAGCACATCATTTGATTGCACATTCAGCACATCATTTGATTGCACATTCAGCACAACATTTGATCGCACTGCACATTCAACACACCATTTATTCAGACATTCAACAAAGCATTTGATTGCACATTCAAAATAAAATTTGATCGCACAATGAGCACACCATTTTATCGCAGATTCAGTGCAACATCTGATCGTACATTAAGTGTAAAATCTAATCACACATTCAGAGCATCATCTGATCGCACATTCAGTACATAAGGGAAATTTGTTAAAAGTGTTTTTAAAACAATTTTTCCCGCATATTAGGAATATGTGAGAACCCTTGACCCAGATGAAATAACCCGCTCATGAAGAATCAAATTGTCTTTTCAATTGTCTCGTTATTTGAAGAATCAAATTGTCTTTTCAATTGCCTCGTTATTCCAGATGGATTGGTCTTTAAAAAAAAAAAAAGGGAATTTAAATAATTCATGAAGAGATTAAACACAAAAAAAAAGCCAAGCTGACCAGTTGAGTTCAATAAAGAGCTGTGCCACAATAACGTGAGAGTCATCGCGTCTTCTCATTAACGTTGCGGTGACAGCACAGATTTAACCGATTTAACGTTTTCAAAAATTCATGAACGGAAATATCTTTAAAATTGTAAATGCTTCTGAAAAATAATTTTCTAAGTTGTAAATTCCGAGTACGAATGTTTTTAACCTACAAATGTGTTTGTACATGCATATTTATGTACACATATATCGAATTCCCCAGATACTGATAACACAACCTTCATGTAGGTCCGCAAGGGGATGAGGGAGCAATTGGGTGGGCTGTGGGGGTCGGGTCTGAAAATTTGACAATATGTGTTGTGTTCGGAAAATAATGTATGTGCCAAGTTTCAGCTCGATAGGTTTACGGAAAGTGATTTAATGAGCAGTCTGATGATTTTTGCCTTCAACACACAAAAACGAAGTTAATTTAAATGATTTTACAATTGCAAATGTTACTTTATAAAAGTTGTGTTATCTTGATCCGAAATTTAAGTCGTAGTCACTCCATCTTTTTACTTTTCTATAATTTATGGGTGAAGATCGAGTGAGCCGAATGATAAAAAAAAAATGTGTTTTTCACACAATGTATTCATTTGAAAGTAGTAATATCTGGCCTTTTAAACCTTTAATTTGACTGGACGATTAAAACTTTTATGGACTAAAGGTACCAGCTTTCAAATGGGTTTTTATCGTCTATAATTGTATTGTCCTGTCGTTGTATGGTCTATAATTGTATCGTCCTGTAATTGCATCGTCTATAGTTGAATCTTCTCTAGTTGTATTGTCCTGTAATTGTGTCGTATAATAGAGTATCATTCTGTAATCGCATCGCCTATAGTTTTACCATCCTTTATTAGCATCGTCCTGTAATAGTATCGTCCTGTGTTTGCAGCGCTCTGTAATTGTATCGTCCCGTAGTTGGATCGTCTTATAGTTGTAACACAATTATTAAAACGGATCACTCGAATACGTGCATTCCTAAAATTTTTCAGGTCGCTTAATCGTGTAGCCCAGTGGTTCTCAATCTTTCTTGTGCCGCGACCCTTTACTACAGCTCCTCATGTTGTGTCGACCCCCAAACCACTAAATTAATTTTGTTGAAACCTTATAACTGTAGAGCATTTGTGTTTTGAGGTGGTCTTAGGTGACCCTCGTGAAAGACCAAAGGGGTCGCGACCCACAGGTTGAGAACCGCTGGTGTAGCCTAACGAAAGAGATAAAAATCTTTCGGGGGGGGGGCACGTTAAGTTTGAACAGTGCCTTCAACGTGAATCTGCAAAGACCGCATCGGTAACGTGACTCCTGGGTCTAACGTGACATTGTGAAGATCTTTTCTATTATTATAATGTCTTAATTAAAAAAAAAATGTGGCTTGGATATTATACTCGGCTTGAGATATTTATCACTTGGCTTTTCGCCGTTACCAAATAAAAATGTATCATAAGGCAAAGCTCCAACACGAAATTAAAACGTTTTTGGACAGCATTTGCTGAAAAAAAAATATGCATGTGAAGATTGTACAGTTGACACAACCAAGCCTGAAGGCAACAAACGAACTTTTTGAAACATAAAAAAAAAGTTGGTTGACCACACGGTGTAATGGACACGACTAAACCCGCAGGAAGTTTTCGCATTTATAAGATACGATGCTTTATTGATCCTAATACATGGAAACGGTTTTTTTTAAAATAACATTGTACATAACTTTTCAGCACATAAATAAATACACATTTTCAACCAATTGACATGTTACAAGTATAACAATTTTAACACAAGACATCTACATTATTTTATGTTGGGGTCACCACAACATGAAGAGCTGTATTAAAGGGTCGCGGCACAATGAAGATTGAGAAACCCTGCTCCAGAGGATCGCGACTGCTCTAGGGGATCTCGACACCTCATGGGGATTGCGAATCCTCTAAAGCAGTGGTTCTCAAACCTTCCTCAGGCCGCGACACTTTAACACAGTTCCTCATGCTGTGTTGATCACCCTCCCAAACATAAAAATCGTTTTCTTTTCAACTTCATAAATTGTGTGTTTTCCGATGGTCTCAGGCGACACCTGTGGAAGGGTCGCTCGACTGACCATACAGGTTGATAACCACTGCTCTAGGGGACAAAGACTCCTCTAGGGGATCACGACATCTCCAGGGGATCTCTACACATCCTATAGTGGATCATGATATCTCTAAGGGATCACGAATCCTCTAGGGGACCACGACAACACTTTGGGAATCCCTTGACCGTAACATAGATAAGGGCTGGCCACTTTGACCTGGCTAAAGACAAATATTCAATGAAGAAAGGTAAACGGCTGACTGTAGAATATACAACACGGGGAATGCTTGTTCACCTGAGTTTATAGGGTGACAGATTGTGTAAATTTAACTGAGTCAAAGCCACCATAAACATACCACAAACCTACAAAACCTAACACAAACTCGCCACTAACTCCCACAACCCCTCACACACACAACCCCTCATAAACACAACCCCTCACACACACAACCCCTCACACACACAACCCCTCACACACACAACCCCTCACACACACAACCCCTCACACACAAAACCCCTCACACACAACCCCTCACACACACAACCCCTCACACACACAACCCTTCACACACACAACCCACACACAAAACCCCTCACACACAACCCCTCACACACACAACCCCTCACACACACAACCCTTCACACACACAACCCCTCACACACACAACCCCTCACATACACAACCCCTCACACACACACAACCCCTCAAACATAACCCCTCACACATAACCCCTCACACACAACCCCTCACACTCACAGCCCACCATAAAATCCAGTTCTGGAATGGTATTGTTTTTATAGTTTTTTTTTTATAAATTACCCACTCATCCAACCCTGACAACTAAACCTGAAATCCAACCCTGGTAGCCAACCCTGCCAAAAATCCCTGACAGTCAATCCTGACAAACAGTCTTGGCAGCCAACCCTGACAAACAGTCGTGACAGCCAACCCTGACATCCAGCCCTGACACCCCAAAACTGACATCCAGCCCTGACACCCCAAAACTGACATCCAGCCCTGACACCCCAAAACTGACATCCAGCCCTGACACCCCAAACCTGACATCCAGGCCTGACACCCAAACCTGACATCCAGCCCTGACACCCTCCCGGGCTAAATATGGGGTGTGGGTTGAAGGGGGGGGTGGTGGGGGAATGGGCACCATGTTCCGTCTTGAGATTTTTTTTTTTTGGGGGGGGGGGGCAAAAAATCGTAACTTTTAATAAAATATATATACTGATTTACACTTTTTATAGGGGGGGGGCTGGAGGGGCCATTTATATGCAGTATTTGCTCCGGGCGCAACTTTTGCTTGTCAGATCCAAGCGCCCCAGTTTCACAAAAGGATTCATTATCCAGAAAGCCATTGCCATCGTCAAATAGATGCTAAAAATACCTCAGACAGTTATTTGTGCGCCAGATTCAAATGATTTTTAATTACTTGCGGAGCGTCACTTTTGAAAATTTGACAGAATCTGTTGTTATTGGGAATCGAGCCCACATGATAAGTTTAAGTTCGATAGGTTAACGGGAAGTGAGTCAATTAGCCGTCCGAAGATGTTTTTTTTTTTCGGCCAGCCATCCAGTCACGAAAAGAGGGGAGTTAATTTAAAGAATTTGAAACTTGTCCTGTTTGACAGCCTCGAGTCTAAAAGCCAATAGCACTTTAATTTAATTTGTTATCACCAGATTGACCAACTGTATCCAGTGATTGTGTGTGTGAATATCTGCCGGCAAGCTCCGCTATTTAAATCAATGCACTGGGCTGGTCTGCTCATTACGCATGTCTGAGTCTAAGTAAGTCAACGTCGATTGCTGCGCCAAGCTGTTTTTACTGTTTGAGCTTTTTTTGTTTTGTTTTGGTGATTTCTTCATCTGTTCCATAAATAAAATTCATTTAAATCTACGTGCAACGCTTATTTATTACTATTGTTTATAAATCCAGTTTGATATAGAGAGAAATTTATTTTACTGATAATATTCAACAGCACCCTTTAGGTAACGCAATTGAATCCGTAAACATATTAAATTTATCTTACTTGAGAACCACTGGTTCCCGCGCTCTATTTAGTTTTAACACTAATTTCTACCGCGCGTGGTCATTTGGGGGTGCATGTCTCTTTGACCTGCGTGACTAACTATACAAATTCTGATGTTAGTCGCATTTAACCGGCGTGACTTACCATACAAATTCTGACGTGTGTCTCTCATAATCTTTGTGAGTGACTACATGTATTGTTCGTATGTGTCATGATATGTCACGCTTGTCTTGTTTGAGATGCGTCTTAAGTACCAGCCAATAGATATGTATACCTAGTCTCTTACCTACACTCATACTCCAGGTGGGCGTCGCAATGAATTTATTGTCAAGTACCCCTCGACTATTTAAAAAAAAAAATTGATCTACAACAACATCCTTCAGGTGCGTACACAAGTCCAAGATTAAGTCAATATCTATATCTTTATCGATATATGCACTGGTACGTTTCTCTCTTCCGTAATACTTATGTATATATAGATTATGCATGTGTTCCCCGTTGTCTTCCCCGATCAGATGCAAGGACATTTTTTTTTAGAACTTACCAATGTGTCCAATGCATAATCACATCTCTCAACCACGCCAAGAAAATGATCCACGCGGGCGTCTGAACCAAGTCTCTCAACCGTAAAAAAAGTTGCACTTTTCTATGTTTCCACGAACGGCTGGGTCGTTTGGGTTTGTGGTTTGGTTTGACTGCTCGTCAGCAAGCGGCTCGCTCCTCTTAGCGTTGCAATAACACAAACAACTCACGTGGACTCGGCTCAATGGTTCTACCATTGGTTGGGGTTTTGTGGTTTGGTTCGACTGCTCGTCAACGAGCGGCTCGCTCCTCTTAGCGTTGCAATAACACAAACAACTCACGTGGACTCGGTTCAATGGTTCTACCATTGGTTGGGGTTTTGTGGTTTGGTTCGACTGTCGTCAACGAGCGGCTCGCTCTTCTTCGCGTTGCAATAACACAAACAACTCATGTGGACTCGGCTCAATGGTTCTACCATTGGTTGGGGTTTTGTGGTTTGGTTCGACTGTCGTCAACGAGCGGCTCGCTCTTCTTCGCGCTGCAATAACAAGCAACTTACTTGGACTCGGCTCAATAGTTCTACCATTGGTTGGGGTTTTGTGGTTTGGTTCGACTGTCGTCAACGAGCGGCTCGCTCTTCTTCGCGTTGCAATAACAAGCAACTCACTTGGACTCGGTTCAACGGTTCTACCGATTTTTTGTAATTTTTATTATTTTTTGTTGGTATCATTCTTACATTCCCATTGTGTCCTACCCAGAAATAATGAACAGGTTGGGGGGGGGGTGGGTTGGCGGAAAAAGGGGGGGGGGGAGAGGGAGTAGTAGACATCCTCCGGAAATATGTGAGAAAACAGCAGTTAACCTGTGCATAAAATAATGATTTTACCCCGCCCCCCCCCCTCCCCACAAACCATTAAGTCAACAAGATATATGCCGCAAAAAGTGTTTCCCTGCAGGGTGGCAAATTTAATTGACATTATACATTTTTAAATGGTAGTTTAACGTTTGAAATAATACACTATTGCGCCCCCTTGGCTGCTACAGATCTCGACGGAGGTTGATTTTTTTTAACGCTTCTTCATTTGAATTTTTTCTTTTTTTAAAGTATTCATTAAAAAAGAAAAAAAAATAGATAGAGTTAAAAACGCGCTAAGAAGTAGACAATTTTTTTTTCTTAAAATGAATTTTGCAAAAAAAAAAAAAAAGGACTGTGCAGAAGTGTAGCCCAAAAGGATTCGTACCGAATTGAGAAAAAAAAAAAAAAAAAAAATAGAAAAAGTTAAAAACGCGAAAAAAAGTAGAAAATTTTTTTTTTCTAAAAAGAAATTTTGAAAAAAAAAAAAAAAAGGACTGTGCAGAAGTGTAGCCCAAAAGGATTCGTACCGAATTGAGACGAAAGTTAAATATGTTTAATTTGTGTTAATTTTTAAAAAAAGTTATTATCTCCACCAGACATGCATTCTTTTTCTTTTTATTTGATTTGTTGTTTTTTTGGGGCTTTTTTTTTTAACCGTGATAATTTGAGCGACAATGTCAACGCGACACGTTGTTCCCCCAGCGTGAACACGGCACGAGAGAGAGAGAGAGAGCTTAAAATGTCACGTGCGCAAACAAAACACTAACGCTCCACAAGGGGGCGTTGCGAGACTGTAAAAAAAAAAAGACACACGTTTAAATGTTACAAATAATTGGAGGCGTTACGACAAGGCAATCATGACATTGAATATTTTGCACGCTAAAATTGTATTGAATTGTTCTACTTTACGGTACAACACATATTTTTTTTTTTTTCATTTTTCATTTGTTGTTTTACCCAATAATGAAAAGCAATTTTAACTTCGATTTCTTTTATTTTTTTTCGTGCCTGGGTGGGTGGGGGTGGCTGGTTGGAAAAAAATCTTCGGACGGCTCATTGGCCCACTTCCAACCAACTGAAACTTGGAACTCAGACTCGTTTCCAACTACACCACATTATTTCAATTCTGGATCTCCAGCCCCACCCTCAAAAATCTGTTTTTTGTTTTGTTTGTTTTTTTTAAGGGCAGATGGCGGAAATATTATGACACTGATTTCACGAAATGGAATTCCCGATAACTGCGCTAAATGAAATTCGTAAAAATATCGCACGTGCTTTTGGTGCGAAATAGTCACTTTTTTCCCTTCTTTTTCTTTTCTGAAATAGCTGATTTGCGGTGTAAAAGTGGCTGCCACATTAGAATGTTGATACGAAATGAAATAATAATTTAAAAAAAACGCACACAAAGGATTAATACGAACAGCTTTGTTCTCAGGGGCTGTTAGATTTTACATGGCGGATTTGAAACGGGGAAAGGTCACATAAGATTGTCACTTGATCCACCCGGATTCCCCTATACAAACAAAAAAAGAAGATCCCAGCAAGAAATGCAAACATTCGGAAACCTGCGGTACTTTGCTGTGTTAGAGAGGCCGCGTCCACCGTGACCCCGACATCAGTAGAATTAGAAATCAGCGAGGTTGATTTATTATTTTTTTCATTTTTAGCTTACACACACTGTGATTATACCTAATTTTAACGTTGTGAGGTGGTCTATGTAAAATGGACACTTAGTTGTGTGGGGGATTTATGTCAATCTACACTCTTTGTGTGATTGATTTATGTCAATGTACACTCTTTGTGTGATGATTTATGTCAATATACACTCTTTGTGTGATGATTTATGTCAATCTACACTCTTTGTGTGATGATTTATGTCAATGTACACTCTTTGTGTGATGATTTATGTCAATCTACACTGTGTTGGTTTCTTGTAAATCTAAATTCTAAGTGTGATGGTTTATGTAAATCTACACTATGTGTAAAGATATATATATATATATACATATATGTATGTATATATATATATATATATATATATTATATATATATATATAAATAATAAAATACAACATGCTCTGCTCCACCTCCCAGGCATGAGTTCATATAATAATAAATATAATAAAATTGCTCGATTAACACCGTTTGGGTGTACTCAGTGGTGAGACTAAAGACTGCTGCGCACGTCGGGGTTGGCTCTTCATTTGGCGGCGGCCCTCCAACCCTACAGAATATGCGTCAAAAATTAAAGCCATGCGATAAGTATAGTACATAAAGTAGACTTAAAAAATTCTCCCTTAAGTAAGTTTCACCCGGGTAGTAACGTCGCCCCCCATCTCCCCAGCCTCCGTCCGACCACGTCCTACGCCCATGGTTCATTGACATATTCGGGCCTTTTTGAAGAGCCGTCAGCGGACATTAATACAGAGATGAATCCCTCCTGCCCACCCCCCCCCTTCCCAAGTGAACATCGGGGTATCCAAAAAAAAAAAAAAATGGGTCGCGATCGGGTACAAACAGATTTTCAGGGAGCGACTACTATTTTTTTTTATATTTTTTTTTTTTTGGTGGGGATTTTTGGATTTTTAGACCTCCTCCTAAGGTCACAGTCTGTCACAAATTGTTAACCCTCCCCAACGCCCCCCCCGCCCCCCCCCCACTCCATCTTGCTTAAGTACGTCACACTTTCAGGCGGAAAAATAATTGTTTAAAAAATTAAACAAAAACAATTAAAATTTAATCCAAGACAAACTTCACTAATAAATTTATTTTAAAAAAAAAATGACAGCTGGTGACATCGTCTGTCAAAGGGCGTCCAACACAAGATAAAGTTACAAACATCACTGTCACTTTTTACAAACAAAAATCATAGACATGTACGATTTAAAAAGATGGGTGACATGTCGTATGATCTTTACCACCAAAAAAAAATAAAAATAAAAATAACAAACTATCAAACTTTCTTAGACCATCTCAAGGCCGTCCCCCAAACCGGAGCCTTATATGTACGGACCCTTTACAACCCACCCCCCCAAACATGACCCGTGGAAAAAAAAGAAACACCAAACATTTCTGATTTTAACTTAAAACCCTAACATTTCAAATTTAAAAATAAACAGCAAACATTGCAGATTAAAAAAAAAAGAAGAAAATAATAATCTCTTACCGTCTGTTTACTCTCATCCCTCAAGTAATTTCAGTACAGAACACCTGAGATTGTAAAACACAACAACCTGCTCTATCCAATCTGCTCTATTCAACCTGCTCTATCTATCCAACCTGCTCTATCCAACCCGAATTCACGTTTCTAAATGCTCCCATCCATTCATTGCGTGTACACATTGTATAAAATACAATTAATTTTTTCTTTTTCTTTCAAAACCCGGTGAAAGGTGTTTGACTGCGTCGTCAGCGTACCTGGTGACTCAGGCCTTCTACACTTCCATTCCACCCGACAGCACGGATTGGACGGCTAGAGGGGCGGGACGAGGAAGGTGGGGTACGGAGGAAGCTCGGGTGGTGTGAGTGCGTGTGTGTGTGTGGGGGGGGGGGTTGAAAGCATGTCACGTGAACATAATCTATGGTCTAAGGAACAGTCGCTTGTCCTTCGGCCGCGGTCACTGAAGGAGTCGACGTCGGGAGCGCGAGCACAGGTGAACTGCTTGCGCCACGGTATTGATTAACTCGAGGGATGATATGCTTCGCTGGGAGGACAGCGGGCAATGCTGAGGGGGGTCATCTATATAATGACGTCAAGCATTTTATTTTTTCGTTTTTAAAAAAAAATTATTTTGTCACTCAATTTCTTTTTTCCATGTTTTTTTTTTTAAAAATAGTGTTATATTAACTTTTTTCTTAATTTCATTTTTTAAACATTTATTTATTTGTTAAATTTTTTAAAATAATTTTCTTTTATACGTATATATATATATATATATATATATATATATAGCAGTTCACGAATCAGCATCTTTTTTTACTTTGTGTGCATTATATATGTATAAGTTTGTGACGATAGACTGCCAACAATTCGTAACGTCATTTATGGAAGGCAGGAAATGACGTCATTAAATGAGCTACCAAAGAGCAAGTAACTCCCATAACACGTTCATACACACGATAAGTTAAAATCGCCAACTCTTTTTTTTTTTTTTTTTTTTTTAAATAATCCCTTATGCTTTCTTTTAACTTCGTTTTTCGTTCGCGTGTTTGTTTTTAACTAGCAAAATATTTAGACGGCTATTGGACCCACTTCCCGTCAACCTGTTGAGCTTAAACGTGGCACATAGATTCGTTGCCGTTGACAAACATACCTTCTCCCCCAACCCGAAAAAAAAATTCACTTTTTCAATGTGAAGACGAATGAAATATGATTTGTTCACAAAGTGCGTTTTTTGGTGTTGCGATTAATTGCGTAGCTGTTGCTATATTGTGCTTTGTATCTGTGACGTATATCAGTATGCAGTAAAAATAAAATGTATTTTTTTTAAAGAGGAAAGATGAAGGAAATATTAATATTTTTTTTCACCAGAAGTTTTCCCATTTTATGACCGCTTCTTCAGAAATGATAAATCATGTACAATAACATACATCATCATCATCATTGGCGCTACAGCCCATGAAGGGACCTGGCCTGCTCCACCACATCCTGCCATTCGGAACGATCCATGGCTTTCCGCCTCCATGCGCGAACCCCCAACTGGTGTGATTTCTTCTTTACATCGTCGATACATCTCAGGCTTGGGCGCGACCAGTGAGTCGTCTGCCCCTGGGTTTCTGGCATCGTTTCACCATGTCNTTTTTTTTTTTTTTTAGATACACCGCCAACACATATATATACACTCTCTCCCTCCACACCGCTCTTATATATATATATATATATATATATATATATATATATATATATATATATATATATATATATTTAAATAGATGAATGAACACATTTATCTATAGCATTGCGAATTAAGTGTTGCTTAAAATAAAATTCCTAAGTAAGGTACGACACGATAACATAAGATAAAATGCTTTTAATTGATCCAAATAAATGGCATTAAAAAAAAATAATTACATTTTAAATATTTATTTTCAGCTCATAGATAAATTAATATTGTTAACGAGAAAATATTTTTTTATAATATAATACTATAATGGACAATTTAAAACGTGCTTTTTCCAAAAAAAAATGCAACCAATTATCAAATAAAATTAATGTATCCCAAAACATCCATTTTTTACAGTCACATTAATAAAACAAAGAAAACCAGTGGTGCCCATCAGCTCAATGTTCCTTGCGCAGCATCGCAAAGACATGTCCGCAGCGGTAACGCTACTTTCATTCCGTTGGTAAAAGTCACGTTCGATGTGAGCATACAACAGTAATGCAAGGCGGTGGTGAGAACTCATATTTCAATGATGAAATAATGCGTACGTTTATGTTATCTATAATGTGTACATGTATGTGGTCTATAATGTGACATGTATGTAATCTATAATGTGTATACGTTTGTTATCTTTATTCGTTACATTTATGTTACCTATAATGTGTACATATATGTTATAAATAATTTGTACATGTATGTTATCTATTGTTGTTACACGTATGTTATCTATAATTTGTAAATCTATGTTATCTATAATTTGTAAATATTTGTCCCGGTTCACAAGCGCCCGACAGGCAGCAGTTAAAAATCGCTCCACATTTTCTCATTTTTTGGAATGTTTCTCTCTAGTTTTATTCCTGATAATTGGATATAGTTGTATCCTAAAGTCTCTTTGATGTATGAATATCATTTATTTCGAACATAACTAAGAATTGCTGGACTTATTCGGTGTTTCCCATTCTGTATGTTAATTAACATAAACAAAAAACAGTCAACGTTATTAACAAATACTTCCGGTTCACGAGTCGCTTGAACAAGAAGCAGTGAAATCGCTCCACATTTTCTCATTTTTGCAATGTTTCTCTCAAATTTTTATTCCTGGATAGTTGGGTATTGTTTAGAAGCCACACTTTTCACTCATAACAATCAACCAGTGTATTGCGGATAAAGATATATGACCACATCATCCAGTTCCACGGGATCTCCATCAGCTGCGTAGAAGGCACTTCACAGGAATATCTTAAAGAAATGATTTATAAACATGTACCCAGAACCTTCAGTCTTCAACACAGTCTTTACTGAAAATTCCCAGTGTGGATGAACACAGAAAAAAAGTCTTACGGAGTGCCCTCTTTTGAAGCGATGGCGCCTAAGTTCTGGAACAGTTTGCCTCCATCTTTAAATTTAAGGCGATTAGAAAATGATTAAAAAAATCATTTAAGAAACATTTAAAGACTTTTTTTTTTGTTTAAATAGATTTAAGAACACATGATCGCAGTGTGCACGCTAAGGTAGCATGTATACCAGCGCTTTATAAATATCCAATCAATCAATCTATAATTTGTACATGTATGTTATCTATAATTAAATTGTTACAAGTATTTTATCTATAATTTGTTCATGTTAGCTATCTATTATTGTTACATGTATGTTATCTATAATGTGTATATGTATGTATCTGTAATTTGTACATGTATGTTATCTGTAATTGTTACATGTATGTTATCTATAATTTGTACATGTTTTTCATCTTTAATGTGTACATGCATGTTATCTTTAAATTTTACATGTATGCTATCTATAATTTATACATTTATGTTATATATAATTTTATACGTGTTTGTTAGCTAGACTTTTTACATGTATGTTATTTATAATTTATGTACGTACGTATTTTCGAGATACGTTGGTTAACTCCATGTAACACTCATAGCCTTATAAACCCCTTTTCAGGCTTAAGAGTATTAAGAGTCCCTGATCCTATTTCGTTCTCCGAAGAGGAGAGAATTAACGCAATCTGGCATGCGTCATCAATCTATGCAAACAAAATGTTTTTATGGCGCACATTGACAAATGCGCCCCAGTTCATTCTGTCGGCTGAGCCCACCAACACACATTTGATGTGACTGATTTTTTTTGTTCGCCCCAAAGCTCAGGCACTAAAAGTGTCAACCAGGCAATGGCAAATGTGCCGGGTTGTGAATCTAGGGTTGTGGGCTAAATCAGTGGCCCCCAAAATGGCGGTCCGTGGACCTTCACCGGTCCGCATGCCTAACGCTGCCGGTCCCCATAACATATATATTTATTGTCAGATAGAAATAAAAGTATAAAAATAAATCATGCAGCGGTCCCTTCTAAAAACTTGTTCACCGGTCCGCCAAACTTAAAAGTCTGGGAACCAGTGGGCTAAATGATTCAAAGGCAATGAATACTCTAGGTAGGACTGCGTGTAAACTGCCTGGAGTCAAGTGTTTAAAATACAACCCTGCCCCAGACCTCTGTCTCCATTGTTGTTCAATTCGCTTAACTCGTGTTTCGTGACAATTAAATGATATATTGTCTAGAGCAGGGGTCGGGAACCTATTTGTCTGAGAGAGCCATGGACACCAAATATTTTGAAAAGTAATTCTGTGAGAGCCATACATTATGTTTAAAACTAAAAATTCAAGTAAAAGTGTGCATTTTGTGTAATTTCAACTCTTAAAATGCAATAATTATGTCTCTGAATTCTTTTTAATAACATTGTGATGCTGTTGCTAATCAATAATGAGTATTTCTTACCATTAATGCGACTTCTTTTTTATAATCGAACATTTGTATGCGAGCCAGATGCAGCCATCAACAGAGCCACATCTGGCTCACGAGCCATAGGTTCCCGACCCCAGTCTGCGAGCCAGATGCAGCCACCAACAGAGCCACATCTGGCTCGCGAGCCATAGGTTCCCGATCCCAGTCTGCGAGCCAGATGCAGCCATCAACAGAGCCACATCTGGCTCGCGAGCCATAGGTTCCCGACCCCTGGTCTAGAGTAAACCCCCACGTTTTGTTTCTTTTGTCTCTGGAAATAAATAAGAATCGGCATCACAGACGGGGACGTGTTCACTTCAGATGAGGGCGTGTTCACGTCAGACGGGGGCGTGTTCACTTCAGACGGGGGCTCGTTCACGTCAGACGGGGCGTGTTCACGTCAGGCGTGGGCGTGTTCCCTTTAGACGTGGGCGAGTTCACTTCAGACAGGGGCATGTTCACTTCAGATGAGGGCGTGTTCACGTCAGACGGGGGCGTGTTCACTTCAGACGGGGGCGTCTTCACTTCAGACGGGGCGTCTTCAATTGAGACGGTGGCATGTTCACTTCAGACGGGGGAATGTTCACGTCAGGCGTGGGCGCGTTCATTTCATACGAGGGCGTGTTCAGGTCAGACGAGAGCGGGTTCACTTCAGAAGGGGGCGTATTCAAATCATACGAGGGCGTTTTCAGGTATGACTGGGGTGAGTTCACTGCAGACTAAGGCGTGTTAACGTAAGTTTGGGGCGCG